ATTAATGAGAGCATTTGTGTTATTTTTCCTGAAAAATTGCCTGGGGATTAATTTATGGTAGAGTTAATTTTATTGCACCTGCATTAATTAAAAAGGGATGTTTGGGTTGATTGGAGTATAAACCACTCCACCTCTTTATAAGAGATAAATGGCAGTTGAGATCTAAATATAGGAAATTAAACGACTTCTCATTGTCCCCGGCGTTAATTAAAACATTTATGTTATAGGTGTGATTTAGTTGTTTGTTTAAGATTGGGAAGTGCAATAATTCCTTTTCGTAACTTTTGTGGGGAGATTGAAAATGATCTATCAAAATTACCAGAAACGATCCTTCTAACAAGGTTTTGTTAAAAGATATTTCTCTGTTGTTTGTAATTATGGGATCATTTTATTTTATTTGCTTCTTGGGATTAAGAAATTCAATCATTTTTGTTGTCAATAATTTACATTATCTTGCGGAAAATACCTTTTGATGAAGTAGCTGAACCATCTCTCTCTCTCTCTCCCCATTTTGTAATTGATTAATCCATGAGTGCCTCTATTAATAAGGGTATTTTTCAAAATAAATTTTTTTTTTTAATGGGATCTTATGAAAATAAATAAATTAGTTCTATCTTTTTTAATTAGAAGGAAAAATGATATTAAGGCAATAACAATAATTACAAAGTTCCAATAAAGTGAGGGAAAATAAAAACTTCTCTAAACCTATCAAAGTAACTAACATTTTCTACTCTACATGAGAAGGAAGCAAAAGAACATAGAAAAAACCTAATATTCTCATGGATAACACTAGGGACAATCATGAAAGTAGCCTTTGAATCAAATTTTCAACTTTATTCATATTTTTTCGACAACATTTTAATTTAATTTAATATATTTTTATTTTTAAAGAAAATAAAAATTTAACATTATAATCATAAATAAAAATTTCTTATAAATAGAGTTACAAGAGTATGCTTGTATATCGGCGATATTTGATTCCACTGATTTGGGACGGAGACAGCTGCCTTGAAAACACTACAGTATCGTTTGGTACAAAGTGATTAAATATGAAAGATAAAAATTAATTTGAGATTAAAAAAATCTATTAAAAGAGTGTTTAGCATGACAGATTACCTATTCCATGAGATTAGACAAATCCATGTATGTGGGATTAAAGAATACTATAGAAAAAGTGGTATTTCTCAATCATAACTCTATGGATTTACCTAATTCCATAAAACAAACAATTACTTATATTAAAGATTTTTTTAATAAATTTTATAACTGTAATCTGAATCCCTATTCCTTATTTTCAATATTTCACGCCAATTAAACTTATAATTTATTCATATTTGATTTGACGATAAAATCAATCTCGCTACTTGAAGTACCAGCCTGCCAGTAAGTGTGTTTAAAACACTATATACTTTTCCGCTATATGAAACCTAGATATAAGATCTATTTTATAGTATAAATTATATTATAAAATAAATTTTATATTGAAGATTAGAAGAGCATATACTAGCTATATATATTTTCTCCATTTTTACTATAAAATTTAGTTAGCTAATTTAAGTATATTAAAAAAATTTATTAAGTTAGTTATTTGTAATAAATATGTATTATTTTTTTCAGAATATTCTACTAGTAATATGTATTAACTAAAACTATTATTTAATAGAACTTTTAATATGTATAGCTATTATAATAAGTAAATATAAAGGATAAAATAAATTAAAATCTTATATTTAAAATTAAATTAAAAATCAAATCAGTCCTCGTAAAGGGAAAACAAAAAACAAAAAAAGCACGTGTGTGTGACTGTGTGTTTATAACTGAAGGACCACGCAATTGAATATTTATATGCACGGTGATACGGAGTTACGGACTATGGAGCGCGCACTCCACCCTCCTAATTAAATTAGTGTTTTTTTGGCATCCTTCATCTGATTCTCCAATTATATCTGGCGCTATACTTCTGTTTATTGTTCAGGATGTTGATTATTCCTTCCGTTCCTTATTATAAGAGACAAATAACTAAATTATATTGATTAAAAATAGTTAAAATTAGTTGAAGACAATTAATGTGTAAAAAATATAATGTTTTTTCTAACAATACTCCCATTAATAAGGAGAGAGAGTATGAGAGAGAATAATTAAATTATTAAAAGAAAGAGAAGTGGGAGGGAGAGAGAGTATGAGTTGGAGACAAAATAAATAGGGGTAAAATAGGAAATCAATACAAAAAAAGTAGAGACAACTTTTAAGTGTCTCTTATATATGGGAACATGCCATGAACATCAAATGTCTCTTATAATAAGAAACGGAGAGAGTAGTATAGTATAAATAAAATTATAACGTTGAAAGTGTCAGCAAAATAAAAACAGGTGCTGAGTATATTAGAAGTAAGATTATGATGTTGAATGTAACTGAAAAATAATAGGAGAATATTACTACCTCCTGTTTTAAATATGAGAGCTTGATTGACTTTTATTTTGATTCTAAATATAAAATTTTAATTTATTCTGTCTATTATATTTATCTATTTTTTTTAAGATAGCCTTTGTGATAATATTAATTGTAACTAATACACTTAAATACCAAAAATATTTTAAGGAAGACAATACTTATTTATTATAAATAACTAACTTAATTAATTTTTTTAATTAATTTAAATTAGTCAATAAGGTTTTGGTATAGTTTAATAACATGAAAATTTTATAGTAAGCAAGAGGTTAAAGGTTGGATCACCCCTTAATTGGGAAAAAAAGGTGTTTTGAGAGATTTCAACGAAGAAATAAAATTCTTAAAGCAGAGCTGGGCCCCCATTCATGGCATGTTGAGTCTGAGCGGCGGAGTGGTCCAAAGATCATTTGTCCTTCTTTTTATTTTTTTGGGAACAGGTCCTTATGTACTTTTTTAACTTCTAGTACACTGTTTTTTTTTTTTTTAAATAAACTCGTATTTCCCTCCACCATCTCATCCATCACTGCACTAATTTTTCTCCTATCTTAAGAAAAGCACATAGGAATATATATACACCGACAATGGATATATTTGATTTTCACTTAAGAGTTCTTTAGTTTTGAGAAAATTTTAATTGTTGGGATAGTTTTTTTTTCACTTCAAAAAGTATATTTATCAAAGTTAGTTAATTATGGTTAAAAAGTAAAAAGTAAGATTAAAAACTTGAAATAAACTAATGACATGATCGGATATTGGTTGTCTAGAACCAGAGTGATGAGTGAAGATAAAAATAGGGACAACAAGCAGAGGGAGCGAAGAGTCCCCTTTCCCTATATGGGTTATTTGAATGAAAACCAAACAATAATTTTAAAAGTAATTTTACAATATATGAAGTAAATATGTGGAGGAGTTTTCTCGATTTAAGAAAAAATACTTTTATTTAATACCAAATACTGCCATAATGATGAATAAACAAAAAAAAAAACCTGACCACTAGTCTCTTTTTAGTTTTTAAACTTAAAAATATTTTTTTTAGGCATCACAATAGTAGTATTTAGCATTGACAACCAATAGAGTTTTAAAACTAATTAAAAGCAATCTAATGTGATCACGATGGTAGGATTGCCTTCACGACTCCTTTCACCCTAATCAATATACGTACGCAGCTTAATTAAGAGTTTTTCTCGCAAAATAACCCTCAAATAGACAAATATATATACTATCTTCGGTCTTTAATATAAGAATTAGCTGACTAATTTGAGTAGATTAAAAAAATTAGTTAAATTAATTAATCCTCAAACATATATATTACCTTTGGTCCTAAATATAAGAACTACTTGACTAATTTAAGTAGATTAAGAAAATAAGTTAAGTTAGTTATTTATAATAAATAGGTGTTGTCTTTTCTAAAATATCTTTGCTAATCAAGTTTATTGGTTAGAGTTACTATTATTATAAAGACTATCTTAAAAATAAATAAATAAATGTGAGAGACAAAGTATAATGAAATCTTATATTTATAATTAAAATAAAAATCAAATAAGGTCTTATATTAAGGATTAAAAGTAATATAATCCTATAAATGTTTTTCTTTTTGGGTTGGAACTCATCAAGTCCGGAATAGCCAACAACTTTAATATCATTTGTTTGCGTCAAAAAAAATTTTGGTTCGATCGGTAATAAGTCAATTCATAAATAAAAGAAGTTATGAATTTAAATCTCATTACGTACAGATGAGCCTCAAAGCTCAACTCACTTAAAAATGTATCATCTGTTTGTAATTTGGGTACAACATGCATATAATGGAATAATTGACTTGCTTAATTTTCCATGTAAATGTGATTTGCAATTAATTTTTCTTGATCTTACACCGCCAAAACAATAACCATATAATATGTGAAATGAAATAATCTTGTAATGGTCAGAATTCATTAAGTTTTGTGTTGGCAAAAACAATTTATCAAGTAGTTTTAAACCAAAACATTTAAAGTATTACAATATTTCACTAAAGATTATATAAACTTTTCCCTTTAATTTCTGTCAAACTTCCCACCTAAACTTTTTTCTTATAAAAAAAAATCTTATAAACCTTTTGAAATACAGGGATGTGTTTAATTTTTTTAATTGTAAAAATATGGTCAAAATACTAATTGCAAAAAAAAGAAAATTACGAAGATGAGAATATAAGGATTGTTAAGGAAGTCATCAGAAAAAGTAGCTGGAGGAGATCCATTAGGGAGGTTTGGGGGATGCGTTACAGTACGAATGCTCATTATCATCTGAATAACCCAATCGTTGTCTCCTGAAATGACGCAGACGCAGTCTCATCAAGCCACAGTACTATGACCCCACATTATGGCCAATCACGTGGAGGGGATTTGTTGGTTCCGCTGATCTGTCATATCAACGGCTATCACCCTCACAAAGCCGTACCCCGTCGTTGTGCCCTCCACAGCAAAGCACAGCCCATTCGCTCCCTCTCGAAAAAGCTTCGTGTTCTCTTTGCCTTCCCCAAAAGATCAAATCGAGAGGTGGGGGGAAGGGGGGGGGGAGAGAGAGAGAGAGAGAGAGAGAGAGAGAGAGGATGGAGGCCTGGTCGTGATAATGATAAATTTAGTTGCTAGGTGTCAATGAGCCATTGAGCCCTCTCATGGCTGCTTCCCGTTTCTCAGTGGACAGAGTACCAGCTCTTAACGCCCTCTTTCACGCTGGAAGCCTGCCTCGATCTGCTACTGAATGTGCCTTCTCTGAGCAATCGTGATTTTTCTCGCCGTTTTGGCTCAGTACAATTGATTCTGATAATGGTTCATCAGGTCAGAGAATCTGGCTACGTGTTGCATGAGTTTACGGGATAGATGGAAGAAAACCACGCTGAATGGGGAAAAGGCGAGAAAGAAACGGAAAGAAAGCATCGAAACATGATTTTCAACTGATTTTGGGGGTTGAATCTTTCATATCCTTTTTCTCCTGGCCCCTCCTTCTACTAGACTCTCCTTTTTCTTCTCATGCTCCTTCTCCGGCCGATTTCGTTGGTATCTGTTTTCTTTCCGGTTGTATAGTGAAAAACCCTAAAATTTTCAAATAAGCTCTTGCTCTAGGTATTATTTGAAGTAAGCGAGAGATCCTAGATTTGCCTATTTTTCTTGTTCCAATTATTTTTCGCATTTGTTCTTTTTGGTTTTTCCCGGCCTCCTTTCCTCAGATCTGATTCAATTATAAGTGTCTTTCCATCGATTTTTCAAGAGCACTCGTTTTTCCCTCGGCGTTTCCTTATTTGGGCAGGCCTTCGTATTTTCCTGATCTCGACTCCTATAGCTTATTTCATATGACATAGAAATTGACAGAAGAGAGTGAGCACACAGAGGCACTCGGTATTGTTTCATACTGATGCTTTTGCGTGCTCATTCTCTTTCTGTCAGCTTCCAGTGCTGGAAATGAGTCTCACTGCTATTTCTGGTTTCTGAATCCTTCTCGGTTTGATTCTTTCCTCATTATGTATCCTTTCTTAGCAATTGGATGGATCCTCAGCTGAAAGCATGAAAGATCATTGGTGAGAAATGAGAATGAGGAGGTTATCATTATCCAACAGTGTAAAGCAGTTGGTGGTTGTTTTCTTTCCCTTTTCTACTCACTAATTTTTTTTTTTACTATTTGGGACTTTAATTATATTTAGATTTCGTAACCTTAAAGCGTGACTTTTGATGGTTCTCCCTGCAGAAGATACCCGAGTAGCCCTGTGCAGATTAAGCAGCCAAATTAGCGCATAGCTTGGGACCATTTCACGTTATAGTATGGTCCTCACAATTTTATCTTACCGATGCTTTGCAGGCATCATCGTCATCATCCTCATTATCGTTTTCTTCCACGCACATTTTTTTTAAAATAATTGCTGCGCATGCGATGCAGTTGGTTTGCTGTTTGTTCTCACCTGAGTCATGGCTAGATTCTGCCTTCTGCTTCATATCTGAACATATTTATTTCAGGAGTATGTATTTACCATTGGCAGATAAACACTAGCAACCTACTTGCTTGGGTTGAGAGTGTACTAAATTATGTGTTGCTGAGCATCATTTCGTTCCCCGCCTGCTAATATTCTGATCTTGCTCCTGACACTGTATATCTTTCTTTTTTTTTTTAATAGAAAATTGATGTAATATTTTGTGGGGATTATGCAATGTGACCCCAAAGGGTGATGGCCTAGGAAAATTAATCTATTGGGTTGAGCTAGGAGCTCGAGATAATTACGGACTTTAATGTTCTGTGGTTGAATAAAATGATCTGCCTTGTTTTAAGGTTATAGACAATATTAGGCTTCTATAATTTGTAATAATATACATGTGAGGTTGTGCTCGCTCACATTGGATTGGATAATTAAGGCCGAATATGATAGTTATTATGTCGGTTAGCTAGAATTAGCTGTTATATGTGTTTGTTAATTTGAAATGGATTTAACTGTTAAATTTTAACAAAAATGGTCTATAAAATATTATAAAATGACGTCCATTGAATGATACAATAGACATGCCTGTTAACTTGAATAAACGAATGTAAAATAAATTGCAACTCTTATTTATTTTGCTTTAGTGATGATTGTTTAGAAATTATATAAATCTCTCTTTCCATATTAAAAGTGCTAAAAAAGTTTGAAAGTTAATATGTATTGTATCTTGAATTAGTATATTGCCAGCAATCTCCACCACTCATTGAAGAAGATAATATTTCATGGATCAGTCTTTCTTTATTATATTGATTTTAATATTTTTCTTTTTCTAAGGAGTGATAATTATATTATTCTTGCCTAGAAAAATTACGATTCTTCATGGAGGACATCGAGATTATTAATTATGGTGTTTTTAATGTTCTATATATGAATTAGGTGATCCTGCAGAGATTCTGCCATATTTTTCCAAGAGATTTACAGATATGCATAGGCTGGATTGCTCCAGGGAGATTTGTTTTTTTATTTTGTCCTGCTTTCCTTTTTCCTTCTTAACTCAATTTTTTCTGCATTGGTTTACCAACCGTTGGAATGTAATCCGTACTTGTCGTTGGTTATACTAGCAAGATCACATTGAACTTGTTTTTATGCTGCACCCAATTTCTCAATGGATACCGGTATATTCATTGAGATTAAAGCAAGAAACACCCACCATTGTTTATATTTGGACCACTACGTTTTATGACTTTGCTTTTCGTTGTCTGTTAAATAGCTGGATATTTCTGATACATGCACAGCCCCCCTCCTGTTGCTTTATGTTTCATTATAGTATGAGTAATGCAGCTTGCTCGGATCTGCGACAATAGCTTGAACTTATAATACATCAATTGTGAACCAGAATAATTGTTCTTGTCAAATGTGCATGACGTATAGCGTCGATCGGGGCAACAAGATTTGATTTTTTTTTTTTTAAATTTATGAGGTATATCTATATATGGTCTTGTTGGCTTGTGACTTGACGGTGCTTATTTTGGGGTCAATGCATATGAAAGAAAGAGGCAAATGCAACTTTAAGTATTCCAGTTAATTAAGGCTTCCATCTATGAAGCCTTGATTTAACCTTATAATTGTCTCTCCGCATTGATATATGCATAATATATAAATTTGCAATCTTGCGATGTTAAAATTATCGTGATTGAGTATCTGGTTCTTCTTTTTCTATTAAGTGAAGCTTTTAGCCGGTAGACAATAAAATTAAATTATAAATAATGTAGATTTGGTAGTTGCCATTTGGGACGTGCAAAAGACGATTTAACAGTAACTGGGTGTGATAGTAGGCTAATGTAGCTGCCACAAACATGCTTAGCTTGACGTGCACTGAGAAGGACATGTTTTTGCTACATCTTTTCCTCTTACCTCTCTTCTTTCTCTTTGTCTGATAGCTTCTCTTCCTCCCAATTCCTTCCTTATTTAATTCCAATCCACTGTCATTCCATTCCAGGTAACAAAATATTCGAGCTCAATTATTGAACAGTAAAGAGTGTGAAAAGCGGCAAAGTCGCGGTGACCAAAGAGGAAAGCGAGCGCAAACGAATGGTCGAGCCGGGCGAGCAAAGCAGTTTTCCTGTTCTGACATATTTCTGAGAATCGTAATTGAAGTGATCCTATTATATGTAACATTAATATTTTGCTCTTGGACTGTTGCTTCTGCGGCTCCGCTTTTATATTACTCATAATAGTAAAGAAGTTACAAAAGGCATGTATTCAATAGCAAAGGCTGGACCTGGATGTTTCAATAGCAAAGGCATGCATCCGTACTGCTTGTAAATCTAAGAAGAGATATAACTAGAATTTAGTAGTTAATACGTTGCGATATTGCTAATTACTAACAATAAATTGTCGCTAATGCCTGATTATTGGATGTGGATCCTGTGTACGTAGTTGGTTAGGAATGAAGGACATATTGATCGAAGAAGAGAATTTAGTTGATGCAGATTGATGAAGATCGCGAGAAGATGAAAAACTACACACTGATCGATGAAAATGTTGGAAGGGAGAGGTGCGAAGGGAGAAACAATAGCAGTTCGTTCAAACAAAGTTTTGCTTTAATTATTTAATTTGTTGTTTTAATTTGGTCATTACAACTGGAAATATGGAATAATCATGTACATCGGCTAACTTCCTCTCACAATCTACGGGCCAGGGAACACGAGGAGGCAGGCATCTTATTATGCATCACGTAGTTAAGATTTAAGCTGTCTTCGTAGTAGTCACCCAGGAACAGGGAACACGCTAAAAGTGATTGCCTTGAAGGAGGTCCATGTCCTGAAAGGCTGAAATTTTTTTTTTTTTTAGCCAACGTGATAGTCTGAAAGTCTGAAAACTACTATGTATTATGTGCCTAATGAACATGACTAACCCACCAATTAGAAGAATCAAGCTATTACCCTGCGTGATCTTTTATTTTGATTTTTCTCTGCCTAATTAAACGATTAATGGGCGAAGTACATTCCCTGATTAACATTTTCCTGT